GAAGTGGTYATCAGCACAGAGATACCTGTTTGGGTGTTCCCTTGCTAGCCAGGAAAAGCACCCACCCTGGTTCCATCTCAGTCCTCCTGAATGTGGGAGCATGCCTAACTAGGGCAACTAAGGATATGACTGAGCAAAAATAACTTGAATAACTGTGATTTTGTTCACTAGTTTAAGCAGAATCACAGCTAATTGCATTTCTGCTTTTAGGCAGAATGAATCCCATCATAGATGTCTGCAGTGTGGACATTTACATTCARTCTTATCACATTGAGCAAAATTTATAGTCAATTCAGCTGCGATATAGATTATAGACGGATGGTAATATTCTTGGTATACCCTGGTATACAGGTTAAAACTGTGAACCAAGTCTAAAGTCTTTTGATTTTTTTTTCCATACTATTCAATTATTTCTTCACACCATTCAGGTCAGTTCAAATACAATTTAGCTCTTGATTTTAGGGAATGATAATATGCTTACCTATGCCAATGCATACCTATACCTAGTCATCTGGAGCAATTAAATGTTTCATCCAAAACTGTCAGCAAAAAATGACTTTGGAGCAGGTACAGATCTCAAAATACTCATTGAGATGCAAGGTGTAGATTGGTCTCTTTCAGGTTTGTCCTTTACGTTTGAGCAGATGACTAGTACCTTAGAAGTGCCTCTTTCTCAGTAGTGACTACAAAGAGAATAAAGGTAAAAAAATCAGATTACTTTCAATATATAGATGCCTAAATTCAGTACAAATTGATATCTGTCATAGATTCTCTTTATTATCAATGACAGGAAATCCACGTAGTTCATATTTTTCAAAGAATTTTAAAGAAATCAAAACCATTTGGCTAGTTCTCTTTTACCACGGATTTTACTATATTTAAGAAAGTGCTAGGCATTTCTGACTGAGTTACAGCAATTCGGAAGGCTTTGATATAGTTATGTTTTCTCTGAATTGTGGGTGAAATTGCTGTCCACAGCTTGCAGTCAGTAACCAAAACTGATTATGAGGTTAGTAGCTCTTTTGAGGAAGATACTGCTTTGCACAGCGGAAAGAGGTTTTTGGAACATCCCACTGACCTGTGTAGGATTTCTCTCTGTTGACATGTGAGGTAGGATGATGAACAGAATTCACGTTCCAACATTTAAAGACCTGCTGCAATAGGATGTACCTATTGCAATTAGTTAATTTAATCAGCAGAGTGAAGAAGTGAGTGAACACTCAGCTAGATTCATCCTGTTCTCAAGTAAATGGTGAAATTGTGCTATCAAATTGACCAATTGATTCATATTCTGGCTCCATTGTCTTAACTCTCCCCCACTAGGCATTTGCACACATTCACAGTATGTCCAGACCTTCTTGAGGCTGGACAATTCTCTCAGCTTCTCATCACTATGTCCAAAGCTCAAGCCTTTCATTCATCTTCATGGCTCTTCACTGGATTTGACCGCTGTCTCTCTTGTACTGAGGAAGACAGAACTGGATACACTACTTCAAATATGATCTTAACAGGGCTGAGTAGAGAGGAAGGAAGAGTGTTGCCTCCATCTGCTGGCAATACTCTTCCTCATGCACCCAAAGGTTCTGCCGGTTTTCTTTGCTGCGAAGTGGGTGTTTGCTGGCCCATGTTTCACTTGCTCCCCAGGACTCCTATGTCCTTCCCTACAAAGTGGTTCCTGAGTCCTTTGGTCCTGTGCCTGGACTGGTGCCTCGGGTTGTGTAGGACTCCCTTTCTTGATCTTCATAAGSTTCCTCTCTGCCCATGTCTCCAGTCTGTCAGGATCTCTGAATGACAGCACAACTGTCTTGTCAATCAACCCTCCAACGGCTTTCTTATCTTCTGCACACTTGCTGAGGGTAGACCCTGTCCCATCATCTAGGTCACAGATGGAGATATTAAAAAGTTCTGGCCCCAATATGGACCCCAAGGTTCATCACTGATTGATTTCATTTGGGTTTTGGGTCACCAGTCACAAACTTTGGATGTAMGCAGTTGAGCCAATCTTTAGCCCACCTTGTGGTCCACTTGACTAGTCTGTACTTTATCACTTTGTCAATGAAGATCCTTTAAGAGGCAGTGCCAAAAGCCTCCGTGAAGCGACGATAAACACCTACTGCTCTCCATTTATGTACCTAGCCAGTCATTCATTACATCGTGGAGGGCTCTCAGGTTAGTTAAGCAGGATTGCCCTCTTGTGAATGGGCACTGACTGCTCTTGCTCACCTTCCTGTTTGGCATATGCTTGGAAGTGGCAGCCAGAATGAGCCGCTCCAATCACCTCTCCAGGGGTCGAGGTGGGCATGCCTTGGAACGGCATTAGCCACCTCCCTCAGCACTCACGTATGCTGAGTCCATCAGGGTACAAAGACATATGGAACACAAAGAAAGGAACACAAAGCCTACTTTCCAAGCTCACATGGCAGGCGCCTTTGAACAGCTACCAATATTTAGATCCTAAATGGAACTCCTGACAATTTGTTTGATGTGCAAACTGGAGAAGATACTATTAAAAATATATATGCTTTTCATAGTGCCTCTTCTTATTGAAGATAATGTTCTAAATCCTAGCCATTTCAGTGTGATACCTGCTCCTATCTTCCTGATATAGGTTAGAGAAAGARCACTCAGTGTTTTGTAGAAAGTCTAACTTGTTTGATTTCTGATATTATGTGTATTTCCCTGACCTTGCTACATTGCCTCTTTTCAGAATCTCCTTCTGTTAGGTGTAATTATAAATCTAAACTAGTCTCCAGAGATAATAAGCAGCATATAAGGTTTTCCTCCACCACGTTTCTCTAATTGGTAGATCACTTATTTTTAACTCCAGCTCCAGCAAAGCTTTCCCAGGGAAAACAAAACAAAACAAAACAAAACAAAACAAAACAAAACACAAGCAAGTTAAAAATGAAAACAAATCAAAGAAAAAAAGAAAAACCTACATCTTTAAAGCACACCTGGCAGATAGTTTGGAAAACTTATGTCTCATCTACTGCTCATTGCATGAGTTTAAAGGTCAAACGGGTAAGTGGAAATCCTGATTTGGTAAGTAGGTTTTATTACTGTCTTACAGTAACATAAAGAGAGATCTAGAAATCATCATACCATTGTTAAAAACACTGGGCAAAATACTAGAAAAAGAAATTAYTCTCTATTATCCCTTGCATGTTCATCAAATAACTGTCAGCTTCATGCTGAGGGAATATGCCCAGGTGAGAAAAGATCATTCTAGTAAAATATTAAAAATAGATAAATGTCTTTTCATCAATGTTTCCCTGAAAATGGATGCGTAAGTTTGTGCCTGCCTTGTTATGCCTTGTCTTACTTTTGATAGTCTGCAGAAAGTGCTACTTGTCAACCTACAACTATTCTTCCAGTTGGTCTTCCTTAGAAACTTATTAGGGAGAGATAAATAAAAAAGATGGGGAAGAAATTGCATCATAGGGGTCAAATATGAGGCCAGGGCATCAACACTGGTGCTGTGCTACTTTTTACTCTTCCCTAATTTTATACAGTTGTTCCTGTTCTCTCTGCGGAGGGTTTYGCTGTATAGGAAACCTGTTGTATCRCAGAACTTGTCCAGGACATCTTCTGTGGAAAAGTGACCAAAGGTCAGGAATTTAAAAAAGTMTGTGGACTGCCATGTCCTGAAAGGTCATCTGTGCAACAGTCTCCTATCCAYTTTCCTGTCTGGAGACAGAAACTGCCAAACATTTCCTCTGTTCCTTTTCTCAAGTCCCATTTTTCATTCCTTATTTATCCCGGTAGGTGATGAAATAAAATTGCTACAGATTATGGTGCTATCTAAATACACTAATGCTACTTTTGTGCACATCTTTTTCTCMTTCATGCATCCACAAGCCTGCAAATATTAATGAGCTGTAAAATGGGAAGCCAAGTAGACTGGGATGAGATACATCTTTAATTGCATTATGTGTCCTCCTTTTGTTTGAAAGCAGGAACAATCAACCCGATCTTTTCCTTTTCAAATCCCCTGCAGTATAGTCATCTACATCACAGCCAGTGATCGCTAAAATGTCCATGGAAAGAAAAGGGAATTTTTGCCATGCAAATATCTGGTGTATTTTAAGAAGAGATACACCCTAAGACTAGATTGTATTCCAGACTACCAACACTTGCCTTAAGTTTATTTACTTCCATTATGTAAGGAATCTAGGGAACAAAAAACAAAACAAAACAAAACAAAACAAAAAAACCCCAGCTGATGAAAACAGGCAATATCTACTTTAAAAATATTTGCCACGCCAATATGTGGTAGTAACATATGCTTTATGTCATTGAGCTTAAAGCCCCTAATAGTTATATGTCTAAATTAGAACTAACCGTGAATGGAAAGGAACGATTATTCTTCTCATTCTAAGGCAGCTGTCTAAGGCAGCGGAGATGCAAAACCCCCTGGAGGAGCCATTGCCTTTCTATTCACTAAGCAGCTCGTTTGACTTTGACATGAACAGTGAATACCTAAATATAGGAACCTAAGAGAAACAAATCTCTATAGCTGATCGTACCTACGGCTTTCCCTCCTGCTGATGAAAAATACAGGGATGGAAAATGATYTAATAGGAAATTCAGAAAGTCCAATTTTTGAAACACATCTATTCCATTTGAAATTCCTCTCTGAGTTTAGACCTCATTTACCTATACACTACCTGACCTTCTCGTGCTGGTGTTTTCAGCAATGTGAATGTTAGCTGTATCCTATGGGATAATAAAAATGCATTACAAAGGTGTTCCAACATTGTTTCCTTCCAGTGTTGTTATCAAAAGCCTGCTAACACAGTCACAGAGGGGAAAAAATGTGTCTTTCTAGTATCTCTTTTTTTTTGGTAAGAAATGCTGGTTCTATATTATAAAAAGTTTCTACAGGAAACAGTTTATTAAGTGCCCTAACTCTTTGCACAAGCTTATTTTATGGAGCTGTTAAATTTGCTTTTTCTTTTGTTTTTACATCTTCAGGGAAAGCAGTGGGCACCCAATATGGTATGAAGAACCAAACAACTATCAATGAGTTCGTTCTTCTGGGATTTTCTTACGGGCTGCAGGGGCAGACTGTACTTTTCCTGGTCTTTCTAGTCACCTACATGGTGACAATCACTGAAAATACAATCATCATCTTTGTGGTGAATAGGAACCACTGCTTGCATAAGCCAATGTATTATTTCCTGGGGAACTTGTCCTTCCTGGAGATGTGGTACATCTCTGTAACACTGCCCAGGTTTTTGTTTGGATTCTGGTCGCAGACAAAGAGCATCTCCTTCTCCAGCTGCATGACCCAGCTGTACTTCTTCATTTCCCTCATGTGCACCGAATGTGTCCTTTTGGCTGTGATGGCCTATGACCGCTTTTTGGCTGTCTGTCATCCTCTGCGCTACCCGGCCATCATGACCCACAAGCTGTGCTGTCAGCTGTCCATTCTCTCATGGACAGGAGGCTTCTCTATTTCCTTGGTCAAGGTGTCTTTCATTTCACGCCTCACGTTCTGTGGTCCACAAGTCATAAACCACTTCTTTTGTGACATATCTCCAGTCCTGAACCTATCTTGCACTGACATATCCCTTGCAGAAACAGTGGACTTTGCACTGGCCCTTGTAATTCTGCTGGTACCTCTGCTGATCATTGTTTTCTCCTATGGCTGCATCGTGTCCACAGTCTTGTGCATGCCTTCGGCCCAGGGAAGGAGAAAAGCCATCTCCACTTGTACCTCACATTTCAGTGTGGTGATCATCTTTTTCTCAGCCACTCTCTTCATGTATGCCAGGCCCAGGAAGATCCATCCTTTCAACCTCAACAAAATAGTATCCATCTTTTATGCTGTTTTCACTCCAACATTGAACCCTCTGATTTATTGTCTAAGGAACAAAGAAGTGAAGGAGGTGCTGAGAAAGATGATAAGCACAAGCTGCTCTGCACATCATCACATAACTTCTTTGCAATAGTCAGAGCAATAGAAGGACAGTAGTGGGAAGAAAAACACCATTCTTCAAAYAGAATTAAGCAGGACCACTGTGACTGTTGTTCATTTGCTTGCTAAGTCAACAGCTTTCTTCGGCACTGCAGTCTGTCAAGGAAAAATTTGTGTCTCACTACTTCTGTGTGGAAATACGTATTTCATTCACATAGGGGTGCTTTGAAGACTAGATTATACCTTGCTGTAATTTTTTCTGCTCCTGTAGCGATTTAAGAAGTCACACCACAACCTTGGCTGATGGACAATTTTCTTATGACGACCCTAAAAATGAAATTTATTACTTTCTAAATCATGAAGGAACTAAGCTATCATCCATATCACTGTGGAAATGGTTGATGAAAGCTGAACTAAGTTACATGTAAAGAACTGGGGTGACTTTTTTATCCTATCACAGTTTTYGCTGTACAAAGAGAGGCGTCACTCTTACCGTAACCATAACATTTGTGTTAGGTATACCTTCGTATGACCTCAAGTATGGTTAGGAGTTAAGAGTCAGTATGAGCTGATATTTCTAGTCAGTGAAGAGGTGGTAGATTCTATATTATATGTTTATTTGATGATGGCCAAGGCTGCCCRAGGGCCTAAGACATGTTCCTGGAGAGATCCCCATTGTGCATTTCCCAATAACCTTCATCTTGACTAGCCAGAGAGGGAAACAATATGAGGGTGTTCTGGCTTGTCTTTGCATGAGTGTGGAGAGTTTCTGTTGAACTATAGGGCCAGCAGTATTCATGTATTTTTGTGTATTTCATATATGTGTTTGTGTGTGTGACTACCCACTCACATTCCATACAGATTGGATCTAGAGTTACAGAACTGTAGCAACCTCACCTCTTTTAGGCTTCTGGATTTTGCAGTCCTACAAAGTACATAAAATTAAATCCTAACCCAGGGAAAATGGTAATATTTCATTTTTTTACAACATTGAATCATCACAAAATACTGAAATATTCCAAGCTGTCCTGTGAAATCAGACAAGGAAAAATAAATGATAGTTGTCAAAAAAATCATGTTTCCTGTTCATTTTCTTTTGGTAAATGGAGAAATTCTGGTGGGAAGTTCTTGCGCTATTGAAGTGCACTTGCAAATGCACTTGCACCCATTCTGTATAAATTCACCTCCACAGTATATATAGTTTTGTGGAAGAGGTATTTCACAGCCATACAGGGGTTGAGTTGTAAAAAACARAACTCATCCAGAATTGAGTAGAATACAGACCCTGAAGCGTAAGTAGAAAGCAGGTATTTAGACTTCAGCTTATTCAGGGTACTAGTATTTGGAAACCCATGGGGAAGAGGTTTAGGGCAGAGGAGCTCAAGATTTCAAACAGATCACAGAATCACCAAATGACTGAAGTTGGAAGGGCTCTGTTACCTCACAGTCAGGAACTTTTTCCTCAAATTTAGGCTGGTCTTCTTGCATTTCGGTTTGTGACCATTGCATCTTCAGACAAGCTCCTGAAGGACAACCTCATTCAGGCAAAAGAACAGTCCATTCCAGAACTCAGGATAATCAACAGATGTGTGAGGAAACTGGCTTGGTAGGAAGAAAGCAACCACTGACTGAGCTTCAGTGTGAAAAGGGCAAAGACTGGAGGTGACAGTGGTATAGCATGCAAACAAGGGAAGTGGAAACATATCCAGGTGTGGAAGACTAGTGGTGACCTAGCCAAAGCTCACCTAGATTTGATATAGGGAAGGGACATTGCAGGTAGCAAGCAGATCTTCCACAGCTACATTAATAATACAAAATAAACAAGGAGAATATTACATATATGCCGAAGGCTCARAAGCCTCAACCTATATACCTATGTGCCCAGATGGGGTATATTTGAGGGTRCAGAGAGAATTAACTGACATGATTWTGATGCCACTTTTTGAATGGTCATGAAAATGAGAGGAAGCACAAAGCCTGGAGCCAGGCAAATGTTGCATCCATCTTCAAAATCGTCAGGGAGGATGATTTCAAGAAGTATTGACTGGTCAGCTTCCCTCCAACTTCTGGGATGAAATGATCAGCTTCATGGAAGAGGGAGAGCAGTGGATGCCATCTACTTTGACTCTGGCAAGGCTTTCACCATGCTCTCCCACAACATCTCTGTGTCCAAGTTACAATTTTGCAGTATAGGTGAGTGAAGTTCTAAATGGGTGAAAAGCTGGACAATTTGGACTCAAATGGTAGTGGTTAATGGTGTCCCACTTTACTTGGTGACTGCTTACGAACTGAATGCTTCAGGGGTCTCTCCTGGGGCCATTCTAGATCAGGATTTCTATTAGTGACATATTACCTAGCTGCTTCCCCTGCCTGCCATCAGTCCCTCCAACTTTCTGCACTGATCARCTTAAGGGAAGAGTTCTTTTGTAAYGGATCTCAGTGGGACCCATTAATGCTCCAAGAAACTTTAGAATTTACATCTGATTTTAGCTTCTCAAGTGTGTTTTTTAGCCTCCTCTCAACATCTGAAGTACATGGCTTCAGATCCCAGCATATTGGAGGGATCATTAAATATACAACCCTGAAGAGCCATGTTGCTTTCCATAATTTCCCATAATTACCCATRATTTTCTTCAGTCCTTCAGTTCTTGTGTGGAAACATGGAAATATTTCAAGAAAATATTTAAAAGTGCAAGCATTCAGTGAGCACTTGAAAGTGAAAGATGTCTGATTTTTAAGCTTTCTTTATTCTTCCCATTATAAAATAAGTGATATCCACATTCTCAAATGTATACAAATCCAATGTGTCTCCTAATGAGATCTAAACTTATAGGGAAAGYGATATGTTTGATGAGAGACCTGTATGGACAACCTTCCTCCTCTCCTCTTCAACCCTACAATTTCCCTCTTCAGCCACTGGGGACTTAAAGTACTCCTGTTAAAATCCCAACTTTCTCCACTCAAGTCTGTAACTGAATGTTCCAGCTCCTATGCACCAATTTCCTCCTGCTTTCCTTGGAGAATTAATGGCAGACACAGGAGCATTCTTCTTAACKGCAGGCAAGCAAAAATAAAATATGCTATGGAAAAATAAAACGCACTCCTGAAGTATGTGTTAAGTCCGAGCTGCCCTCAGTGATATCCACTTTATTCAAGGGATAACATTCCTTAAAATATTCCAAGCAGATAGAGAGGTAGGAAAGGCTCTATGGAAACACCACTAAGGAGTTGGCTAAAGAAACAATTAGACACCTGACTGACACTCTTGTGCTCGAAACTGCAGCCAGAGAGCTGAGAKGTATCTGAGTGGATAAAGAGTCAGTAGAGGAATGCAGACTTGAAAACAGTGTGAAGTGCATTTTTCCTGACAGTCTGATATGTGGAGGACCTTAAAAATTATGTTTATTCAGGGCAGGTGAAAATATGTGGGAGATAATTGAGATAACATTCACAGCATGACAGACAGAGCAGTGATAATGCAAGCTGAAGGGCCTGCCAGTATTTCCTCTCCTTCRGAGATTCATACACTTCCTCAAAATTCCCATTGTTTCATTGTGTGAAAACATTGACATACAAAGTAGTAGATCCTTTTAGCTGATGCAAGCGCCTTTGTACTTTTCCAGATTTTCATGTTTTGAAATCCAGGACAGCCACAGCTTAGATTTTTTTTTTYCTCACCTTTGCTTGATAATATGTTCCCCCCTACCCATTACTCATCAGACTTAATTACTACCTTTTTTCTTGTATCCTTTGAAATCCCTTCTTATTTCCTTTCCTTAGAAGGGAAATAAGTCTGCATAAGAATGGAGAAGATTTATTAGACAGTATTACTATCCAGTACAGTGCTCTTCTCAATATGCAGCACAGTGATGTAGTCAAGCTTATTGATTTATGCTCAAAACCTTTACAATTCTTCAAATCCTGCTGCTGGATGTGAAACTGGCCCCTGGAATGCTGGAATCCATATATTACAGATATTTCTTGTTTATTTCTTTTCTTCCCCAGTACCCTGYTTCCCTAATCATCTGCATTGCTTGGATTCTTGATCATACCTGAGACAATTAGGTCGCTCCATAAGTAGTTCAGTGGTTAGCTTAATGTTCATCAGAGCATTGCAGAGCCTGATGAACRGATCTGATCAGATTTCACCAGGACTGGTTCCCTCTACCCAACTCAGTCCTCCAAGAATATGCCAGCAAGTTTTATAATCTCAGCCACCCTCATGTCTTGACTGTGTGCATACCTTAAACTCACTTAAAACATCTGCACAAACAGAATCAATTAGGAAAATGTATTCCAATTTCAGTGGTCATGTCCAGAAGGCAGAGTAATTCATAACAAACTTGATAATTCTTAATAAATTTGACCTTTCCAAACCATTTTGGGTCATAGAGCACCAACAACAGATGTTGGCTCCAGTGATGTTGTGGCTTTAGCTAAACCAGATACAGAGGACTAATTCATGATTGCAGGAATTTTTGTTGGTATCATAAGAGCTTTGGCAAAACAACTTTATGCACAGTGGGTTTAGCACTGCTGTGAACACTACCATTCCAAAAGAGATCAAAGGAGAGGTAAAGTCTCCCTTTGTTAAGGCTCATAATGATGATCTACAGGTCTACGTGGCTCCCAATGATCAGAGAAGCACTGTGGTGACCAGTTCAGTTTGCCTGAGGGGCCTGTGTGGGAGCCTCACAAACATCTGCATAAAAGGCATGAGTCAGGAATTAAGGGCTAGGTAGAATGGATGTGACCAAAGGCAGCCACAAGTAAAGTGCCTATATACCAGTCCAGGTCAATTGTCCACAGAAATGAGGCTTCTCCTGGCAAACAGACTGCAAGGACCRTGTTGCTGTAACCTCAGTAATTCCACTGGAGAAGGGAATCTTGGATTTATCCAACAGCAAGTGCCTTGAAAGGAGAATTTGGAGAGAAAMAGGGAGCAATCCAAACTAACGAGTGTGGACACAGCTATAAACTGAAAGAAAATGTATACCTCAGGAATCACTATGTCAATCTCTGCACTAACAAATTTGTGTTTCCTGAGGTCTAGCAGTGCTTTGGAAAAGAGTTGCTGGATATCACTGCTATCCATGAGTTGCTAAGGTATTTTTCTCTGCCTTCAAGAAAATTACTGTTGGTAGTTCTGTTTCTGCAGAGTTGGGCAGAATCTTTAGTCTCAGCTTTGGAGTTCTTACCCTCTGTACATGAGTGGATCAATAGAAGCAGGAGTGTTGGTAAGCCTGACCACTCTGACAATTATGATGATGTGGAAGGAGCAGTACTGTGAACAGGAGATTTGTTAATGATCATAAGGCTTCATGCCAACTGAGCAGCTGAGCAAAACATGCTGTAGGAGAGCTTTGAGAGGATGGGGAGGAGGCAAGAGAGCTTGCTTGTATGCAGTTTTCTTATATTTGATTATACTTGCTGAAAAACAGCTTTCAAATTTCAAGTAGTACTCTGGTTTAAAACAGAATATGCATATTAAAAGGAGTGATGACAGTTTTCCTCCCCAGGGTTCTCCAAAGGGATTCTTTCACCTCATTGTTCCTCAGGCTGTAGATTATGGGATTTAAAGTTGGTGCAACTACAGTGTACGAAAGAGATAACAACTTCTTGATGTCTGGTGAGTAATCAGATCTGGGCTGGATGTATGCCAGAATACCAGTGCCATACAACAGGGTGACCACTATGAGATGAGAAGAGCAAGTAGAAAAGGCTTTGTGCCTCCCTGCTGCAGAGTTCATCTTCAGGACAGTGTGGAGGATGCAGATGTATGACCCCAGAATCAGCACAAATGGAGACATGATAATGATGACTGTGGCTGTGAGGGAATATGTCTCAAAGAGGGAGGTGTCTGCACACACCAGCTCYAGCACTGGTGGCCCATCGCAAAAGAAATGGTTCACTTTGTTAGGTCCACAGAATGGGAGGCTGAAGAGCCATGCGGTCTGCAGCGTCCCCACRGGAATCCCTGAGAGCCACAGAGCCAGCAGCACTTGGGTACAGGCCCTTCTGTTTATAATGTTCCTGTAGTGCAGAGGGTTGCATATAGCAACATAGCGATCATAGGCCATGGCAGCTAGAAGAAAGCACTCCACAGTGCCAAAGGAGAAAAAGAAAAACATCTGTGCCATACAGCCTATGAAAGAGATCGATTTCTTCTCGGTAAGGAGGTTGGAAAAGAGCTGGGGAACAACCACTAGCGTAAAGCAGATATCCAGAAGAGATAAGTTCTGGAGAAACAAGTACATGGGGCTGTGAAGGGCAGGATCCACTATGGTGGTGAGGATGATGAGGATGTTCCCCAGGAGGGTCACCATATAAATAAGCAAAAGCACCACAAAGAATAGAGGCTGGAACTGGGCAAGGTTGGGAAAGCCCAAAAGAATGAACTCTGTTACCATAGTCTTATTTAATCCAGACATCCCTTGTTAACATTTCACATGAAGTTAAAATGAGAAAGAAAGATAGAAAGATGACAGAGAAAAACAAATAAGATTTTTTTTTTAACTCTACAGCAGCTTTAGAGAGAATAATAGATCTGCACAGGGRTAACCAAAAGCAAATATTACCTGTTCATAGAATTTCTCCCTCCTGAGGTCTCTTCCTTCTGGGAGTGTCCAGTATTGGCAGYTGGATTCTGTCCTATGGGCTTGTAAGATCTCAGGGTATAGAAACAGCTCAGTGTTCACTGCATGCAAAGTCAAGATTTGTCACCTCTGGCTGACCATAGGCAGGTGCAGGTAACATCAGAACTTGATGAAGGAAAGTGGAATCAGCTTCTTAGGTAAGGAAAGCGCAAAGTGAGCCTGAAACATAGACAATACATTAGCTTTGAAAGCTGCACTTCCTCTTGACCTGAGATCTCGGGAAGATGAGCTCTCTTTCCTGAAAGAGAATTCTGGGACATGCTTATGGTGCCCTTCAGTGAGTCCAGAATCTCAGGAAGAAAATGTGAATAAAAYAGATCAAATAGAATCCAAGAAAATTAAAACAAAACAAAACAAAAAAMCCCCACAAGTTTCCCAGGAGGAAACCAACAAACAAACAAATAAACCTCTGTTTATCTATTATGTGCTGAGGGGAGGGCAATTTCCACAATAATTAAAAGATAAACAAAATTAATGGAAATGAGCTTTTTTTTTTTTTTTTTTTTTTTTTTATTTCTCCACAGGAACAAGATGAAATCCCAAGTATGATTTAGAAGAATATTTAAACACTTAACTGTTCACACTTTCTCTTTATGTATGTGCGAACGCTGTGGTCAGGATCTAGAACTTTCAGCCTGGAAGAGACTACAGGGTGAACAAGTGAATCCCAGACAGAGGCTGAGGTCAGCACAGCTGTGGCAGGAATGGTGGAGAAACCCTTGTCATCAGCCCTCTCTCAATCAGACCACTGCTGGTCAAGAGCAAATCAAAGAGCATCTTCTCTCTATTTTCCCCCTCCCATCCCATCCCACAAGGCAGTAAACAAGGCACCCAGGAGCCATCCTCCACTTGTTCCTGTCACGGGGTCTTAGGCCAGAGCTGTCAGTTCTCATTCCACAATGACGAGCCCAGTGCTCAGTTACACCTGAGCTTCGGTAGGTAAATTTCAATAGGTAAATGAACTGACTTCAGAAGTTACAGGAGTAATTTCTGAGAAGCCTCCTGCTCACAGAGGGTCCTAGGTAGCTGCATGTATCTGACGCTGTGGCAGCAATGCAGGGGAAACCCTACGGAAATAGTGTGCTGCAGACCAGGTATTTCTCATCTGACTCAGGCAGCAGTCCAAAAGGAACATGCTGCAGAGCCAGGGCTTCTACCCCATGTGATCTGATGCCTCTTTTGCYTCAGGAACAGAACTCCAGCTCCATCTTGCTTCTGATCACTACTCAAAAATGAAATCACCCTCCAATGGGAAGTAACCCCATAGTGGAAACCAAATCTAGACGAGTGGACTAGACAAGTGCAYGGTGAGGTGGATCGAGGGCTGGCTGGATGGCAGAGCTCAGAGGGTGGTGATAAATGGGGCTGAGTCCAGTTGGAGGCCTGTGGCCAGTGGTGTCGCCCAGGGGTCAGTCCTGGGCCCGGTGCTGTTCAATTTGTTCATCAGTGACCTGGACGAGGGCACGGAATGCACCCTGAGCAAGTTTGCAGATGACACCAAGCTGGGTGGAGTGGCCCACACTCCGGAGGGGTGCTGCCATCCAGAGGGACCTGGACAGGCTGGAGARTTGGGCAGAGAGGAACCTCATGAGGTTCAATAAGGACAAGTGCAGGGTCCTGCAYCTGGGGAGGAATAACCCCAGGCGTCAGTACAGATTAGGGGTTGACCTGCTGGAGAGCACCTCCACGGAGAGGGACCTGGGAGTCCTGGTTGACACTAAGTTAACCATGAGTGAGCAGTGTGCCCTCGTGGCCAAGAAGGCCAATGGGATCCTGGCCTGCATCAGGAGGAGCGTTGCCAGCAGGTCAAGGGAGGTGATTCTGCCCCTCTACTCAGCTCTGGTGAGGCCACTCCTGGAGTACTGTGTGCAGTTCTGGGCACCCCAGTATAGGAGGGACGTGGAGCTTCTCGAGAGGGTCCAGYGRAGAGSWAYMARGATGATTAAGGGAATGGAACATCTTTCGTATGAGGAGAGACTGAGGGAACTGGGCTTGTTTAGCCTGGGGAAGAGAAGGCTGGGAGGGGATATGATTGACATGTATAACTTCAGGAAGGGAGAATGCAGGGAGGAAGGGGACAAGCTSTTTTCATTGGTGGCCAGGGATAGGACRAGGGGTAATGGCCATAAGCTGAAACACAGGAAGTTCCRTCTCCAGGTGAGGAGGAACTTCTTTACTGTGAGGGTGACAGAGCAGTGGAACAGGCTGCCCAGGGAGGTTGTGGAGTCTCCTACTCTGGAGGACTTCAAAACCCAYCTGGATGCCACCCTGTGCCACATGCTGTAGGTGTGCCTGCTTGAGCAGGAAGGTTGGACTAGATGATCTCTAGAGGTCCCTTCCAACCTTGAATATTCTGTGATTCTGTGATCTCGCTCTGCTGTGGCTTGGCACAGGGAAATAGGCCATAGTGTTGAAGGAAAACTGTTGTTCTATGCAGGTATCCAGCTCAATTTTTGGCTTTCAACAAGGGCAGAAAGTTCTTCCAATAAAGAAAAATCTATCCCCAAAAGAAAATCCTCTCTCCTGCAAAATACCAAATTGCAAAAGTTATCTTGCTCCCAGAGAGATTTTTACTTAACACTGAGAGATTTAAATACTGTGTGCTACCCCCATGTAGACAGTCTGAGTTCTTTCAGGAAGTTTTCACTGAACTCACGAAGCTCTTTCCAGCATCGACATGGGAACAGGCTACTGGTATGATAATACTACCCAAATTTGGTAGAATTCTGTGCAGAGCAAGCATCTCTCTAACCTCCTTTCTCCTCATAGAACATGTGTTTCTGTTTTGACTGAGCAGCTTCTGCAGATTTTCCAGCTTAGGGCACGGCAGAGCTGATCAAATTCCCACAAGGGCCCCAGTCATGCATAGTCTGTTTTGTGAACAACCTCTAGCTGTTTCTTAGGTGGTAGCTAGTCAAAGTTAGCACATTTAAGGTAAAGAAACAGTAGATTTAAGGGGCCCTTAGGAACAATGAGTGGTCTGACCCATGCCTCCAGCAACCTCTCATCAGCAACCCATCTACATGGTTCCTGGGGCTATCTATGAAGCTTGGACAGTAAGTAAGTGTTTTATTAAATCTCTCTTGTCTAGCCACTCATGGGTTAGACATGTCTCTGTCAGTAGCTGACTCATTTGCTCACCTTGCAGTCACAGAGGGCTACAAAATCCATACAGCTTTTTTATTTAAAATGCTAGACAACATATTTAATTCATCTTGAGTCACTTAAGGAATAGCATGGATTGAATCAACACACCCTAATTTTTTTTTTTTTTTTTTTTTAAATTGGAAGAAAAGGCTCTGGACAATACCTACTTCACTAGAACTTCAGTGATGAGTTTTATCTTCATATTGACTTTTTACACATACTGATACCACCCTCTGTCTCTGAATGACTTTACTTCTCTACCTCTCCTCTCAGTTAAAACAGACAGGACAAAGACACAGCACTGTGAAAAGATTGAATTGAAAGGGCACAGACCTGTTTGAGTCAAGGAATGTCTCCTTTAGTCCTGCATGTTTTTGATGAGATCATTCATTTTCAGAACCCTGATCATTCATTTTCAGAACACTCCTCATATATTTTTGATCTTTTGAAATACAATTTATACCATCTGAAAGACAAGAGACATCTTCTGCCTTCCCTGATTAGTCCATATGTCTCACTTACATTACTGTATCTTCTAAATAAGTGTTGAAATAAATCAAGAAATGCAAGCTAATGTATCAGGAACATTTTAATTTTTCAGCCTTCAGTCTAGCAGACATCCAAGGACACAATACTAGCCTCTACAAAGCTCCTGCAAACATGATTTGCCTCAGCATAATTTGTCAGTGGTGAAAAGGCCTATCCTCCCAAGAATAAAAAGATATGATGATTAGAAATGTCTTCTGCAGTTCCTGAACACACAAACAAGGGACAGGTAAAATGAGTATGTGGATATGCATATATATATTATGTGTACATATATGTGTATATATGCACATATATTATATATTTGTATATAAATACATTTTATGGCAAAGTGCTTGTGTAGAGCAAGAGATACTCTACATGAACCATGTTTTCCTAGCTTGATGCTGTGTGCAGTTCATCTAGACTGACTATTTTTAAAGTCCCAGACTGTGGGGGTTTTCTGTGGTGCAAGGGAGGGCAGGAACAGAAGGAGATTTTCTAGGACTCCACAACTTGTTTCAAAGACAAAGATTTACTACACAAGTTACAATGGTGCAAAGTAACAATTTTTAATAACAGAAAATTAGCTCAACTAGAAGACTTAGTTTCTAACTACAGTAGAATTTATGCTAAGGGTAGATACTTAGTAAACACACAAAGCTAGACAGTTTATGCTAAATGTAACTACCCAAAAGAATGAACTAGGCAAACCAATTCAGACAGATCTTATCCRCAAGTTACCTCAGTGGCCAACATACCTTCAATCTCAGGAAAGTAACTGCAGGCAGGTAACCCTGCCCAGAAGGCTTCCACAAGCTGGCAGACCCACTATCTCCCACAGAAAGCCCAAAAGCCAAAAGGGCCTCTGGGGCCACCCTACTTATACACTTCAGGGAATGGAGGAGGTGGAGTCCTCCATCATTGTTACGGTAATCATGCCCACAGTCATGGGCATGGAGGGTGGCTCAACTCCCCAGTGTGTGACTGARTAGCTGCTTTCCTCTTGCAGCGGTGGGCCCAAGGAGGTGTAAGAAGGAATTAATTCCATTCCACAATGATCAACACCACCTCAACAGTGAAAGCAGGTATCTCTCAATGAC